ATGCTAACAGCTGGTGAATTGGGGGGCACATGGAGCTGGGCCCACTGTGCCTGAACTTTCATGCTGCCTCAGACTTTTCAAAATGCACAACTGGGACATAAAACGGTAATTGCTGTATCAGACTCTCCCCTCCTCCCAGAGGCAGCTGGCATCTACGTCCTTCCCTCAGAGGCTGGTTCAACCAGGCAGCTGAATTGGGAGCAGGGCATGGGGAACACATACTGGAAGGGCATGGGAGCACGTTCTGGGAGGGCACGGGAGCACCTATGGGAGGGCACGGGAGCACGTACTGGGAGGGCATGTGGAGCACCTACTGGGAGGGCACGGGAGCATCTACTGGGAGGGCATGGGAGCATCTACTGGGAGGGCATGGGAGCATCTACTGGGAGGGCATGGGAGCATCTACTGGGAGGGCATGGGAGCATCTACTGGGAGAAGTGAGCCTGGCACAGGGTGAAGATGTGGAGGCTGAGGCCAGCACCTTTGCACAGAAGTGGGCTCTCTGGGCCTGGCCCCCAGCACCGCCCCCGGCAGCCAGGAACCTGCCTTCTGGATGTCACAGGCTGGAGCCTCCTAGTGGGGGGACCATCACAGCCCAGCTAGGGGATCTTCGATGACAGGCTGTGTGCAGCCCCCAGTCTGCTGGGGGCCCTGTGAGGCCTGGCCTGTGGCTGGGCTGCCAGGGACAGAGGCGCTGGATTGAGCCTGGAAGGCATCCCAGGAGAAGTGATGAGTGAGCTGGGCGAGGAGGAGGTGGTTAAACCGTGGACTGCATACACTCACTAAATACGTGGTACAAGGTTTTTCTGTGGTGCTGATTGTCTAGTGGAGGTCTGAGCCCAGCCCAGGGGGTTCAGGGCTGCCCTGTCTGTTTTCCTCATCTGGGATCCTGCTCACCCAGGTGGTGGGGTTGGCCCGCTGCGCAGGCTTGGGAGGATTGTGTGTGGCTCAGAAGAGGTGGGCCTGGGGGTGTGGAGGGCTGGGCTGCAGTGTGGCAGGCGGGCTTTGGGGGGATCCTTAGCTCCACCCTCCTTCAGGGCAGAGTGGGAGCCATCAGCCCAACATTATTGCTCAGGACCCTGAAGGACAGACTGGGGTGGACCCGGCTTCTCCAGGGCCCGGCGCCCGGTGGGAGCGTTCTGAGGGTCCCTGACAGCTGGGGCACATCCCCCTCCTCAATTCCAGCCCCTGTGCTTGGCTCTTCCTGCTTACATCTTCTCCTGGGCTAGGGAGGGATAACCCAGCTCCCAGCCCCTGGGGTCTGTCAGCTCCTCGACGACAAAGGTCCAGACACCCAGACCAGCCCAGGCCAGGCTCAGGACATGGTCACTCATGGTCTCAGCTTCTGTGCATCTGAGTGGCCACATTTGGGGTCTACTCGGATGCCAAGCCATCACCTCCCTGTACAAATTCACCTTCTACTGCAGTCAGTCCCCTCCTGAGACTAGCCCATGGAGGTCAGCGGGCCCTTCTTCCCTGTGGGGTGCTGCCTCAAGGTTGGGGACCCTTCATCGCTGTGGGGTGCTGCCTCGAGGTTGAGGGCCCTCCATCCCTGTATGGTGCTGCCTCGAGATTGGGGCCCTCCATCCCTGTGAGGTGCTGCCTCGAGGTTGGGGGCCCTCCATCCCTGTGGGGTGCTGCCATGAGGTTGGGGGCCCTCCATCCATGTGCCGTGCTGCCTCGAGTTTAGGGGTTCTCCATCCCTGTGGGGTGCTGCCTCGAGCGACTCGGAGTACAGAGACATTTCTGCTGGTTCAATGGCTGTGGGATCACCACAGCTCACCACCCTGAGGCCCATGGTCCATTCACAGCTAGAGTGAGACACTGCCCAGGCCAAGATGGCCCAAAGTGGCTGCTGCAAACAATGCCAACGATGATGCAGGGATAATCATACCACCGGAGTCGTCTTTCACTGCTGAGCCACCTGCCAACCCTGGGCGGACACCACCCAGTGTCACGCACCTGGCCAGCCTGCCTGGACTCAAAGCCCATGCCCAGCACGTGGCCCCCACGGCCAACTGGCAATTCAGCTCCCAATCTAGCTGGCTGCCCACTTTCTCCCTCCCACTTTTCTCTGACGTACAGACAGCAAAATGTGCCAGCAAATTGGGTTAAGGAGGTGTTTGGTGAAGGTTATTGGGCTGAGGCTGGCTGGCACTCTCCTGCTGCTTCACATCGTGATTACCTGTTGCTCACTACAGTTGCCAAATGTGAAATTACAAGTGTTTGCTCATGATCCATCATTTCACCACAATTACAATAATTATGTTCCTATGAGAAGGTCGGCAAAAATAACCCAGAGGGGAAAGCAGCGTGGCAGCAATGACGCGGGGGCCAGGGTGGAGCGGGCAGGCACAGGGTCCAGCACAGACTGTTCTCGGCAGGTGGGCCTGCATGTTTTCACAGGAACCACAAAGGGGTGAAGCAGGGGGCATGGTTGGCCGACGCTCTGAAGTTCAGTTCAATGCCAAGAGAAAATTTCCTGCACGTGTTTGGGAAAAACTTTTAACGTTTTTTGGAAGTGTCCAGTTTCTAGAGGAGGAAATTGATGTTTCAATGGGCAGATTCAGGCGACTGGGCATTTTGAACAACAGAATGTCCATCAATACACATTGGAAAACCTCAAGAGTGGGCAGAAAATCAGTGTTTACAGTGGCTGGGCTGAAGGAACTCACACTGTGGGGAGCACAGTGAGCAGAGGGCTGGGGGAGGTGCCCCACGAGAGGCCAAGCCTGACGAGAGCCAGGATCGACATCTGCGCGGAGCCAAGGCTTGTCACCACCACCTGACATGAGGCTCTGTGTGACGACGTCAGGAACCGTACATCTCCCCAAGAACGGAGACCCCCTCCACCCTGCCCGTAACTGAGGCTCAGAAACAGACCCGACCCCACAGCCCGTGTGAGCCAGACCAGGGAGGGGCCACGCCAGAGCCCAGGTCCATCCACCACCCACATCAGAGGCTGGGAATGGGTGTCCAGCCCCACAGACCCCACCCCAGCAAGTCTCCTTCCTCCGGTGATGGGTCCCTGCCGCACTTGAAGAAAAAACGCCTGCAGTAGACGAAACACGGGTGCCTGCTGTTCAAGCTGTAAAAACTCCCAGTTCAAGGACATACTTGGGAACCCGTAGATGCTGTCCGGTCATAACCATGGGTTGTGGTCACAGCAGAGGCCACTGGAGCTGCCACGGGACGGGGAGGGGGAGGGGAAGAGGGAGGGCCCTCTCTGCCTGGCCACGGCCTGCCTTTTCAGGCCTGGCCCAGGTCAGGGGCCGCAGCCCTGGAACGTATCAGAGAGATGTGCCCAGGAGGGCACGCCAGGTAAACATTTCTTGAGCAAATGGACAGACGGGGAGTGAAGGTTGACACTGACCTGAGCTTTGGCATGGACCCATAGGTCCAGTCACCCTGTATCACCACCCCCTCCCTAGCAGCCACCTCGTACTGCGCACTGAGTTGTGCTGTGGGCCCTGCTGTCATCACGGAGCCCCGTCACTCTGCCACCGGTGCCATCAGTCCGGTCTCATGGGGCCGTGAAAGGTACTTGGGCTGGACGGTGGGGGCCCAGCTCCCTTGGCTGCTGTCACCAGGGTGGGGACATGAGCAGGCTTGGAGTGCAGCTCTGCCTTCGAAACTCCAGCAGGTTCTGCTGTCGCACTGGCCTTCCAAAAGTCGCTGGGGCATTCGGAGACCGTGAATGAAGGAAGCACCCAGGTTTTGCTGGGACGCCATGATACCCAGCTCCTTTCCCACTCTGGGTGGGGGCGGTGGCGGCTGTGGCCCCTTCCTGGGTTTAACTGAGAGAAACGCTCGCTGAGAGGCGCCCCCAGGCATCATGGACCAAGATACCTCAGGGTTCTCTTCCCCCCTGGGAGGACCCATACTGTGATGGGCAAGGACTCTTTTGGTTCACAATCGATCTCGCTGTGGTTTCTTTGTTCCCAGCTGGACCCTAGGTCGTGAAGCCAGGTGGGTGGTTGTCGGGCAGCCTCAGATAGCCAGGACCCACTTCATCCTGCTGGCCCAGCCCCAAACGTAGCATGTCCCCAAGAGCCTGACACCACAGGCACCAGGAGTCCTATCCTGGGGATGCTTCATTTGCAGGTGGCTTTGCAGGCTGGGGCAGGGGGGTAGGGGTGGGGGTGGGGGATGAGGTCAGCAGCCTCACGTTGCCGGGTGCAGAGGTGCCCAGGAGGCCTGGAGCATTTCTGGAGCATAAACCTCCCCAGGAGCCAATGAAGCTACAGGAACCAGTTCTGCAGCTGGGGCCGCACCCTGCAGCTGGCAGCTTGTCAGAAGGAGCGAAATCTGGAAATTCCTGCTTTAGGAACCCTCCAGGAATCTGGAGGTACCTGTGTCCCCAGAAGGGAAGGCCTATCACAAAGACTGGGTCTGAGAGTAGCAAGGTCAGGCCTTTCCCAAGATCCTATCGGGTTCTTCCAAGAACACTGCCAGGCAAGCACGATTACCTTAGCTTTTGTTTTTTAATAGATTTAATTTTTTAGGTTTACAGAGAAACTGAGCAGACAGTAGAGAGAGTTCCCTTATACTCCCTCCCTGTCCCCTAGATTCCCCTATTACTGACATTTTGCTTAGTGTGCACGGTTGTTGCAATTGACGAGCCAGTGTTGATATATCATCAACTAAAGGCTGCAGCATTCACTCTTATGCTGTATGTTCTACAGGTTTTGACAAACGCACGTCCTCCACGCACCATTGTACTGTCCTACTTTTAGGGAAGTGGACTTGGGCACAGGTGCTTTAGCAGCCTTCCAGGTCACAGAGCCCTGGGCCTGGGATGGGAACCAGCTCTGTGCTGCCCTAGAGATGGCCTCTTCCCTTTGGTCCAGCAGTCACTGGGGGTTTTGAAACCCTGACCAGGTCACTCAGGCCAGTAGCACTCAATCTCTGCGTTTGCAACATGAGGGTGTCCTAAAGCTGCCCCCGCCCCTTCCTCAGTGTGAAGACCTGGACCCTGACAAGCTACGTGGCCCTTCAGGATGGACGGGCCTGGCGGGGCTGCTTACAACGCGGGGACGGTGCGCTGGGTTTCTTTAACACCTGCGGCACCCTGGGTAAGAGGCGCTGCTGTGCTGCATGCACATGCTTAGCAGGCACAGAGGTGGCTGCAGTTTCCAGATTCACATCCAGCAGGTTCCTCTCCCCCACAGCCCGGGTGGTGGTTTCACTTTGCCCATTTCTCGAAGCACTTCTGCACCTTGGTGGGGCGATGGGGGCAGGGGCACATCCAAGGGGGTGTGGGGAGGGGAGTCACAGGCCCCAAGCCCGAAATGCACAAGTGTAGTCTTCCAGCCTTGAAGCTGACCTTGGGTCTCAGGTGCCACCACTGTCTATAACTGGGCAGGGTCCCCGCTCCAGCTCTGGCTGGGTGGGGTGACCGTCTCAGTTCCAGGCTGCTCTAAACAGATCCTTCACCTGTAATACCCTTCAAGGGTAACCCCGCACCTCTGCCCAGCACTCCTGAGGGCACCACCTCAGTCCCGGCTCTGTGGGGCCCTGCAGACTCAGGCTTCTCCTGAGGGGGATAATTCCATCCCTATAACCCAGTTAGACTCCCAAGCCTCTAACCAGATGAAAAGGTGCGGCAGGCACATCAACAGGTGCAGGGAGTCGCTCCCCTCCCCCCAGGTCACTTGAAATTCCTCCTGAAATGCATCTTGGCTGGAAGAGAAATGCTAAAAGAGGTCAGGTTTCTCCACCATTTGATGCTGTCTGGGGCTCTGGAGCTTCAGACCAACAGCAGAGTGGGAGGAAGCAGAAAAGCCTGCTGTTGTGATCGGGCAGCCTGGAGCGCCACGGCTCCCCCTCTCCTGGCAGACCCTCATCATCCTTCCAGAGATGGTCGAGGCCCCACCCAGACCCAGCTCAGTCTCCTGGTGTCAGGCCCCCAAGCCAGAGGATGCCATTCCTGTCCTGTCCCCGCTGGGGCTGCTGGTGTCCCCGCTGTCTCCCCCACTGAAGGAAGCCACTCTCATCACGCTGTACTCACCATGCTGGGTCCTGCTAGAACAGGGGTCTCAGGGTGAGATTTTGCACTCAGGGGGCATTTGGCAATATCTGGAAACAGTCTGGGTTGCCAAACCTGGGGGTGGGGGGACTGCTACTGACATCTAGAATATAGGGACCAGGATGCTGCTAAAACCCTGCAATGCATAGGACGGTCCTCACCATGAGAATCAAGCGCGGACTGGTGAGGCAGGTGCTAGGCCCGCTCCAGAGCGGGGACGGGGACGAGCGAGGAGCGCGCAGCGGCGACGCACAGGAGCGGCAGCCTCGGGTCAGCAAACCTAGAGCCTTTGCGTGGGGTGGGTGCTCCAGCGTCCGCCGCAGTTCAACAGTGACTCAACAGCACCACCAGCCACAGCTGTCTCCGCTTCGCCCCCCTGGGCCGCAGAACGCACCGGATCCCGAACCTCCACAGAGCACACTCAAATTCTGCGGGGTGTTGGGCGCCAGGCCACCCCTGATGGGCTCAGGCTGGTCACACAGAACTGGCACAGCCAGGCGTCCCCGCCACAGCCCAGGGCCATTGCAGGCTCAGTCTGCACCCTGGGCCTCGGCCATTGCGGACGGACCGGCCGGCCAGGCGCTGGGCTTGGGTCTGCACATACTGGGGCTCCGGCATCTACCCCGCCCCACTCGTCCAGGCCGGGGACGCGCTGCTGCCCCGTCCCCTCCTGCTCCAGACGCGACTTTCCAGGCTAGCTCTTCCCCGGGACCCTCCCCCCATAGCGCGGAGCCCTCCTCTCCGCGGCTTCCTAGCCTGTCCCACTCCCAGGCCACACGCCGCCGACGCCGGTGCCACAGGGTCCAACCGGGCGAACGGGATCGCAGCGCGCGGGGCGCGGGGAGGAGTTCCGGCGCGCATGGGGCGTGGCGACCGGGCAGGGGCGTGGCTAGGGCGGAGTTGCGGCGGCGCGGGGCGTGGCCTCCCAACGGGCACCGCCCCCCAGCTGAGCCGGGACCAGGACAGCAGACTCGCAGACTTCAGAGGCTCGGGTGGCGGCGGTGGGCGCCGAGGTCCGCGCGCGGCTCCAGCGGCTCCAGCGGGTTGGCGGCCCCGCCTCCGGCCAGGATGGAC